GAGATGTGCCCGTGTTTTATAAAAATAATTTGGGAACAATCCTTTTCGAGAGAAGGCGATGAAAACCCATACTCGCACCTATGAGAGTTTGAACAGACTTGTGCATGCTTGTGTATCGCTGGCATGTCTGATGAAACCATAAGATGGAAGTTGTTTCCATTCTATTTGACGGGAAAAGCTAAACAATGGTATAATCGAAACGTAGGAAGTGTGTAAGGAGATTAGGAAATGTTATGCTCTAAATTTTGTTTACATTTCTTTTCCATCTCTAAAGTGGTTAGCCTTTAGAAAGATGTTCTAAATTTTAGACAACTAGAAGAAGAATCTCTTGCCACATCATGGGATCGTTTTAATGACCTCATCATCACTGGCCCGGACCTTGCCATTCAAGACCCGATACTTCTTCAACATTTTTATATGGATCTTAGCAAGATTTCCATGCAATACCTTGATCAAGCCTCTAGAGGAGCTTTCCTTTATTTGTCTACTAGTGAAGTAAGGTCTATGCTTGATAGAATTAGTGGAAAGATTCCCTACACTAGCATTCATTATGAACTCCCCGAGGAATAGAAGGAATCATCTCCCTATCAGGAAGAAGAAATTTTGATAGCCAAATCACAACCACTTTAATCCCAAGATTTAGCTGTCAATCCTGAACCATCAATACCCCAAAATCCTCCAAGGGAAGAAGAAATTCAACCTTTTAAAATTTCTTGTGAGGATGATCTTTTTTATGCTGATTTTGGGAAAAGCTTAAACTTCCTGTTCCACAAGAGACCTTCGAGCTAATATAATTCAATTCCTCTCAAGAAGGGATCTCTTAGAAAGCGTCCTTATTCCCATATAGGATATTGGGAAGAATTCAAGGATAGCATGTCTAGTGAACCCATAGAAGGAGAGCCAAGTCATTTAGAAGCAATTCCTATCTTCTCTCCTTCTATGCCCACATTAGTAATATCCCTTAGTAATATCCCCAGATTGAACAATAGAAGGCATAGCTTACCGAAGTTAGAACTAGAAGACCTTAGTGATCTCCTTTATACTCCTGTTATCTTAAGTCTTGTTGCTACTCCGCATTAAGTTAGACGTAGTTAAACTCACATGTTTCCCTGTGGATACAATACTTGGAATACTTCCGGGTGAAAGCTACAGCAGTATCCGTGTGCTTGCGGATTTATCTGTGTGCGTTAATAAATACCAACAAGCTTTCTAGAGCCGTTACTAGGAAAACGGTTGCTGAAATAACTTTGAACCTAGCTTAACCTTGTGTCATTATTCTTTTTATATTTTTATTATTTTATTCTTTTTATCATGGATTTGGAATCCACACCTATATATCAATATGCTAAACCACGAGCGCACGCCTAGAGCCACCAAAATCTGCAGAGCCTATCCTAGTACCTGGCTATGAGATGTGCCCGTGTTTTATAAAAATAATTTGGGAACAATCCTTTTCGAGAGAAGGCGATGAAAACCCATACTCGCACCTATGAGAGTTTGAACAGACTTGTGCATGCTTGTGTATCGCTGGCATGTCTGATGAAACCATAAGATGGAAGTTGTTTCCATTCTATTTGACGGGAAAAGCTAAACAATGGTATAATCGAAACGTAGGAAGTGTGTAAGGAGATTAGGAAATGTTATGCTCTAAATTTTGTTTACATTTCTTTTCCATCTCTAAAGTGGTTAGCCTTTAGAAAGATGTTCTAAATTTTAGACAACTAGAAGAAGAATCTCTTGCCACATCATGGGATCGTTTTAATGACCTCATCATCACTGGCCCGGACCTTGCCATTCAAGACCCGATACTTCTTCAACATTTTTATATGGATCTTAGCAAGATTTCCATGCAATACCTTGATCAAGCCTCTAGAGGAGCTTTCCTTTATTTGTCTACTAGTGAAGTAAGGTCTATGCTTGATAGAATTAGTGGAAAGATTCCCTACACTAGCATTCATAATGAACTCCCCGAGGAATAGAAGGAATCATCTCCCTATCAGGAAGAAGAAATTTTGATAGCCAAATCACAACCACTTTAATCCCAAGATTTAGCTGTCAATCCTGAACCATCAATACCCCAAAATCCTCCAAGGGAAGAAGAAATTCAACCTTTTAAAATTTCTTGTGAGGATGATCTTTTTTATGCTGATTTTGGGAAAAGCTTAAACTTCCTGTTCCACAAGAGACCTTCGAGCTAATATAATTCAATTCCTCTCAAGAAGGGATCTCTTAGAAAGCGTCCTTATTCCCATATAGGATATTGGGAAGAATTCAAGGATAGCATGTCTAGTGAACCCATAGAAGGAGAGCCAAGTCATTTAGAAGCAATTCCTATCTTCTCTCCTTCTATGCCCACATTAGTAATATCCCTTAGTAATATCCCCAGAATTGAACAATAGAAGGCATAGCTTACCGAAGTTAGAACTAGAAGACCTTAGTGATCTCCTTTATACTCCTGTTATCTTAAGTCTTGTTGCTACTCCGCATTAAGTTAGACGTAGTTAAACTCACATGTTTCCCTGTGGATACAATACTTGGAATACTTCCGGGTGAAAGCTACAGCAGTATCCGTGTGCTTGCGGATTTATCTGTGTGCGTTAATAAATACCAACAAGCTTTCTAGAGCCGTTGCTAGGAAAACGGTTGCTGAAATAACTTTGAACCTAGCTTAACCTTGTGTCATTATTCTTTTTATATTTTTATTATTTTATTCTTTTTATCATGGATTTGGAATCCACACCTATATATCAATATGCTAAACCACGAGCGCACGCCTAGAGCCACCAAAATCTGCAGAGCCTATCCTAGTACCTGGCTATGAGATGTGCCCGTGTTTTATAAAAATAATTTGGGAACAATCCTTTTCGAGAGAAGGCGATGAAAACCCATACTCGCACCTATGAGAGTTTGAACAGACTTGTGCATGCTTGTGTATCGCTGGCATGTCTGATGAAACCATAAGATGGAAGTTGTTTCCATTCTATTTGACGGGAAGAGCTAAACAATGGTATAATCGAAACGTAGGAAGTGTGTAAGGAGATTAGGAAATGTTATGCTCTAAATTTTGTTTACATTTCTTTTCCATCTCTAAAGTGGTTAGCCTTCAGAAAGATGTTCTAAATTTTAGACAGCTAGAAGAAGAATCTCTTGCCACATCATGGGATCGTTTTAATGACCTCATCATCACTGGCCCGGACCTTGCCATTCAAGACCCGATACTTCTTCAACATTTTTATATGGATCTTAGCAAGATTTCCATGCAATACCTTGATCAAGCCTCTAGAGGAGCTTTCCTTTATTTGTCTACTAGTGAAGTAAGGTCTATGCTTGATAGAATTAGTGGAAAGATTCCCTACACTAGCATTCATAATGAACTCCCCGAGGAATAGAAGGAATCATCTCCCTATCAGGAAGAAGAAATTTTGATAGCCAAATCACAACCACTTTAATCCCAAGATTTAGCTGTCAATCCTGAACCATCAATACCCCAAAATCCTCCAAGGGAAGAAGAAATTCAACCTTTTAAAATTTCTTGTGAGGATGATCTTTTTTATGCTGATTTTGGGAAAAGCTTAAACTTCCTGTTCCACAAGAGACCTTCGAGCTAATATAATTCAATTCCTCTCAAGAAGGGATCTCTTAGAAAGCGTCCTTATTCCCATATAGGATATTGGGAAGAATTCAAGGATAGCATGTCTAGTGAACCCATAGAAGGAGAGCCAAGTCATTTAGAAGCAATTCCTATCTTCTCTCCTTCTATGCCCACATTAGTAATATCCCTTAGTAATATCCCCAGATTGAACAATAGAAGGCATAGCTTACCGAAGTTGGAACTAGAAGACCTTAATGATCTCCTTTATACTCCTGTTATCTTAAGTCTTGTCGCTACTCCGGGTTAAGTTAGACGTAGTTAATCTCACATGTTTCCATGTGGATACGATACTTGGAATACTTCCGGGTGAAAGCTACAGTGGTATCCGTACGCTTGCGGATTTATCTGTGTGCGTTAATAAATACCAACACCCTACAAATCATTTTTATAAAGACGGTTGGTGTTCCCTACAATACAAGCTGCCCCTACAAATACATTTGTAACCCTTGATTTCTAGAGACGGTATGGTAGGGGCGGCTAGCAAAACCGCCCCACAAACCATCATCGGTCGTCCCTACAAATGTTTAGGGTAGTAGTAGTGTTTATTTCGTCATACATAATTGTTATTGATTTAAAATGGTCCTCATCTAAAATCCTATTCACCCCTGAAGCCACTCACTTATGAAAATGTGATCGTCGTTTTTCTCGATCTCAGGGAGTTGCTCTATCGCTTCCGATGGCGCACACGTATTATGCATGCTCCGGCAGCGTTATGGGCTGAGTGATTGATGAGGATAGGCATGTGCCGACCCATCACTGTTGACAGCATGCATCTCGATAGTCTTGCATTGGTCTATCTCTCCAGTGTGAGCCCAGAAGAGTCCGTGAGTTCAGGTGCAGCGCCGGACCTCCTCCGCCACTGATATGACTGACGCCTATAAACGGAATGCGCTCTGCGCGGCACGGCAGAGCTGACGGGAGCACAAGATCAACTGGATAAGCGGATAACCCAAGCAGTTAGTGCACCCTTCTTGCTGCTTAAATTCCTACCTTGTCGCTCGCACACGTACGCCCACGATCCGGTTCGCCTCTTCCCACCACCAACCAACTCTATCCTCCCTCCCTCCTCACCCACGTCGTTGTCACCAATGGAGTACTCCACCTCCATCGCCGCTACCGCCACCTGGTCGTCGTCAGGACATGCGTTCCGGCCATCGTCTTCTTGCCATCATTCTCCTCCTCGTCCTTCATTAGGCCCGTCCTCCACACCGGTCATCGAGCCTTCCACTACAGGTGCAGCAGCAGCGTCGCCAAGCAGGACTAGGTGTCGACGTTGTCGGCGGCGGTCCTGTACCGGCTGGACGACGCGCTATTCATGTTTCCGGAGGTGTTCTAGTGGGAAAGCAGCATGTCGATGAACGCCATCGTGGCCGCGCAGGGCATCCAGATCTGGCGCTGGTTCCATGCTAGGTACCCCTCCAAGGGCACCGACGCCAAGCGCGCCGTCCCGCGCAACATCCTGGAGCAGATCATCTGGGACAAGGAGGTGGAGGTGATCCAGAGGAAGGCCCGGACGCCGCTCAGTGACATGAAGGCCTCCGCGGTGCTCGCCCCGCCGCCCAGGGACTTCCTCGGGGCGCTGCACGCGGCGTGCCACCGCAACGGTGAAGTCCCGGCGCTCATTGCCGAGGTCAAGAAGGCGTCGCCCAGCAAGGAGTCTTGGCGGCCGTGCTTCCGAACATCGACATCACCTACCTTCTTCGTGTTTGCAGGAGTCTTGGAATGACGGCTCTTGTTGAGTGAAATTTTTGCATTTTGGTCCCTTTTTAAAACATTATTTACAAAAAGACCCCTGCCAAAACTTTTGCTACAAATAGACCATTTTTAAGCATCTTAGGAAATCACGCCGAGGTATGAAGGTCGGCGTCGACTGACACGATGCTGAGTCCTTGCCATGTCACCGACGACTCCAGGGCTGGCGCATGGGGCCCAGTACGTCGGCGTCGTGTCAGCCAACGCCACAGGCCTAAATTTGGCGCTGTGGGGAGTCACGCCGAGCTCTTGGCACCATCCGGCGCGTGGCCCAGGCGTCCCAACAACGCTTTGTGGGCTAAGAGGTCAGCGTGCGATCAGATGACGCCGAGACGCTAACCTCGGCGCGGCCCGACTCAACGCCGAGGTTCGGTCAGTTGAGGCCATGCCGCGGCCCCTTCTTCCTCCTCCCTCCATTCAGAACCAACATGTGGCCATTTCCCACTCCCACTCTCTTCCCACGAACCCTAAATCCTAAATCCAGCTCTTGGGAGGCCAGATCAAGGGTTTTGACGTTTTGCTAAGGTACTCCTCTAGAATCTCATATCCATGGTTGATCGGATCGAAACATGAACCCTTCTGTCATTTAGACTTTTTCTTTGAGAAAGCTAGTTCCTGAGATGCTAAAAGTGGCCAAGCTTTGCCTGCTGTCCATAGAGACCTCGCATGCTTCTTCCTCAAAACGAACCAAGCATTCAACTTCTAGAACGTGAATGAGGCAATAGCAGTCATAGGCAGACCACGACAACCTCTTAGAAGGCTATTGAACATCTCTGCCATGTTACTAGTCATGAAGCCCCATCTCCAACCTTCGGTGTCATATGCAAGTGACCACTTATCCTTCGATGCCATCAACTCGCTCAAGAATTGCCTGCCATCAACATTTGTGGCTAACTTAAGGGCATCTAGCTTGTCTTTGAATAATTGAACCTCTTGCTGCCTGCAAACCTCCTTAAATAATTTGAAGTTGTCCTTTGTGTGATCACGCCTTATAAGATTCTGAGCAAGGTGCCTGGTGCACCACCGGTGATGTATTTGGCCATAACCAGGAATCTCTTGTTCTACGGCATTCAGAATGCCAGCATGCCTATCGGATATCACACAAACATCACGTCCCAGACCAATTACCACTTGTCTTACTAGCCTGAGAAACCAACACCAACTATCCGTGTCCTCCTTCCGAACAATCGCAAAGGCCAATGGCACAAGCTGGTCTTCTACATCTGTCCCAATACAAACAAACATTGTGCCTTCAAATTTCCCTGTAAGAAAGGTCCCGTCAATTGAGACGACGGGCCTACAATGCTTGAATGCTTCGATGCTCTGCCCGAACGCCCAAAAGGCCCTTCCAAATACCTGGCTACCATTCCTTGTTTCACCCTCCTTAGGTAAATACTCGAAGTGCATCCCAGGATTTGCAGCCCTCATTGCGTTCAACATTACAGGGAGGCGCTCATAAGCTTCTTCCCAATTTCCAAATATTATTTCCAGTGCATGCTGCTTTGCCCTCCATGCTTTTCCATACTTGACATAGTAATTGTACCATTGGAAGATGATCTCAACCAATGCGGACACCGTAATGGTTGGCATATGCTTCACCACGGGGCATAACTGCCTTGAAATGAACCTAGAATTGAGTTACAGATGGTTCTCTTCTGCCTCAGCAGTGGCACAAACATGTGGTTGCTTCATTGAGGTAATCTTCCATTTGCCTGCCTTCGTCTTCCTACCACATACTCTCCAACCACACTATTGTTCTTCACAAGCAACAGTGTACCTCTTCTCCTTGAATGAATTGATGACCCTAAAAGGTCGGTTGTGTACAATGGAGTACTCTTGCAACCATGTTTTCAACTCATCCATGGTAGCAAACAATATGCCCTTCCGTATGATGAGGCAACCGCTAACATCAGGCACTGTTGTATCACTTGGCCCACCATCAGCTACTGCCCTGTGACCATGGCTAAGGTCCTCAAAATCACTAACTAGTGGATCTCTCCAAGGCAAGACCCTAGACAATATCTCTATTTCCCTAAAATTGAGACGACCAACAGGGCGATCGTCATCAGAGTCTTCGGCTATCTCCTCTATGAAGGATTCATCATCTCCAGCTATCTCCATGTCAAAACGGTTCATAGCCCTAGCATCACCAAAGTCTTCTTCACCACTAAGATCATCTTCGTCGCTAAGCTCATCCTCAATAGAAAAGTCTCCGCTAGCATCGTCCAAACCTTCTTCTGCATCACCAATTACATAATCATCATCCTCTTCATCACTATCATGATTGCCCTCACCATCGGCAACCGCATTCTCCTCCTCATCTCCACCGCCCTCAAACCAACCTCCATCATGCTCGAGCGATCCAAATACTTCACCACCACCGTAGCCTAGTTGTGTGACAAGTATTTCTTCTTCAGACAAAGAACCATAACCTATGTGAGTGGGGGAAGATGGGCATGCTTCGAAGTTATCATTTCCTAAGCCAGACTCCTTACTTACTACTAAATCCAAAGATCGCACTTCTGAGGCCAATACAACTGCGTTGTAATCATTCCATTCAGACTCGCTTGTAATTTTGAGCAACCGCTTGATCCGAGGACCCTTCGACGACCCAACATCTATGACACCTTCAAACTGAACATGCACGTCTCCTTCATTCTAGCCTAACTTAACCTTCACTCGCTCCACTAACTGGGTCAAAGATGGTGTTTCAGAAAAAATCAACAACTCCTCACACATGTCCAGAAATTCCAAACTATCATCTCTTGTCCTAACAATACGGCCTCCATGATGCAACATCACTAATTTATCCATCTACAGCCGTCACACAACAAGTAGTGTCACATATCAATATATCATGCGAGTTTCAATCCAATAAGTAGAAACTAAAATATATCATTTCATCTTTTTCAACCCCAACAACATAATCATTTCTAGTCATAAAAAATTGAAATCCAATGACCAACAAATAACTAAAATACATACTAACCCTAATGACCAACAAATAACTAACCCTAATGACACCTACAATAAACAAAGAACCCTAATGACCAAAATAACTAGAAACCAAACTAACCTAACATGTTCATCACATAAAACAGTTAAACAACAATACACTCAATCAACCTAAGCCATACATTTTGCAAATGCAAATACACATATACCAAAACACCATACACCCATGATTCCACATGATTAGAAACAATGCAAGCACATCTACGCAGATAGATTGGAGGAGGGGAGGGACCATTACCTCGAGGAAGCTTCGGGAGACGAGATCCGGGCACCTAGGGTCGCATTTGAGGGTTAGGGTTTCGTGGGGGCCGTGGGGAGACGAACAGAGAGCCGGCGCTTTCGAGAATGGAGGAGGAAGAAGAAGGGGCATGGCTTGCTTCAAGAGTCCGACCTCGGCGTTGAGTCGGACCGCGCCGAGTCTGGTGGCTTGGCGTTAAGTGACCCCAGCCGAGCTATTGGGCCACGGCGTTGTTGGGCCGCTTTGTGCATGCCACGGATGGTGCCAATAGCTCGGCGTGTAGTCCCACCACGCCGAGGTTGGGCCTGTGGCGTTGTCTAACACAACGCCGACGTGTCGGACCCCATGCGCCACCGTGTCGCCGTCGACCGGGGTCGTCCGTGACGTGGCAAGACCTCGGCGTCGTGTCAATCGACGCCGACCCTCATACCTTGGCGTCATGTTCTAAGACGCCTAAAAATGATCTATTTTTAGCAAACGTTTTGGCATATGTCTTTTGTAAAAAAAATGTTTTCAAAAGGGACCAAAATGCAAAAATTTCACTCTTGTTGAGATTATATTACCTTCTTCCTACGCTATTGTTTCTTTTTACACGCACATTTTTATCATTCACTGTCAACTTATTATAATATAATTTAGATATGTAGCAAAAAAAACTATATATCTCTAAAAAACACAAATGACTTATTTTTTTCTCGATCAGGTCATAGCCTATATTTCATTAAGCAGACAGGAAAAAAAAACCACAAATGACTTATAATTTAGACCGGAGGGAGGACCAGAAATTATGAATTAGTGTCATTATTCTCAACGTGTAGTCTCATTTTCCGCTCATTATTTGTAATTTGCGATATATACTAAACATTACCTGCATGTATGTATATATAGGTTCATGATGAGAGGGAGTTGGATCGCGTCCTCAAGGTAGATGGTGTTGAGCTTATCGGCATCAACAACCGCAGTCTAGGTATATTAATTCATTCTCCCTCCGTCAATTCCATAGGTCGTTACATCAATTATCAATTATATAGTGTATTATATTTTGTTTAGAGCTAGCTATCGTCCTTTCTTGACCATGCATGCATGTTGCATGGACATTCGAAGTCGATACTGCCAACACAAACATGTTGTTGGAGAAACGTGGTTACATCATCAAGAAGAAGAGAATACAGGTATGTTTTCGTTCAAAACAACGTAACTTTCAGCAATCCCAACTTGACAGAGAATCCTTGTGTTCCAACGGATTGTTTTTAATTCTCAATCGATCACATGATGCAATGTATGTTGTACTTGGTATATATAAAATCAAGAAAGTGACGCACTTATGAATTACAACTCGAAGGTACACAGAAAAGGTTGATCAGCATCATAATATATCTGATACAACTGTGTTGTCTTTGTATAATTCCGTATTAATTTAAAATAGTCAGAATTGGATGAGTATTAAGTCTCACTTATATTCTAAAGGTTGTGAGCGAGTCTGGATTGTTCACTCCTGATGATGTGGCATATGTACAAAATGCTGGCATTTTCACGGTAAGTTTTCGAAGTCATTATTTTTTTATAACAAGGTATAATAATTCAGTGTCAAAATATGCTCTTCATATTTAGACAAATGGATGGTTCTAGAAGTTTTTGTATATAAGAACCAAAAGCATGTGGTGTATTTCCACATATATAATGTAGTGTCTTAGAGTGGTTTATACAGACATTTCTAATTGGTTGTCATTCGTGTTTTCAGGTTTTGGTAGGAGAATCCCTACTGGCGCAGGAAGATCCTGGCCGAGCAAATGCTGGGCTGTTCGGGAAGGAGCTCTTACCTTAATCTATTCCCGTTCTGCTTTAGCTAATTATTGTGTAGCAATCATGGGCTGCAAAGTGAAGACTCCAAACCATAGAGATTGCACAAGATGTAACTACGAACAAAGTGTTGTATTTATAAGGGCAATTTGTTAGTTTTTTCACTTTATTCTTTGCATAGTCATAAATGTGTGGTGATTTGTTTAAGGCATTGTTACACAAATAAGGGTCACACACCAGCTAGGCCTACCACGCCCGAGCCCCGAGGTCATACATGGCCTAGCACACATTGGAGATAGGTCAAGACAGCAAGGCCGACCAGCAGGATCACCATGCAAATCTGACACTTGTTCTTCGCCCGAAAAACTCACAAACTCCTCCCGAGAAGACATGTCAGGGAGGGGCATGATGAGGCTGTAGGTTGGCAAAGGCCACCTAGAGACGCCGAACGGCAAGGGGTTAGAAAAGTAAAAGGGAGAAGAATAATCCTTCTCATTCTTACGTAGAACACATGGGCAGCACATGAAACCATTCCGCATGTTTTCCTTGACCACATTTAAGAAATCATGCATGCCCCTAATGAACTCTGGGGAGTGGCGGTCAGCGTTGTACATCCATTGCCGGTTCATTTGCATTACAAGACGTACAGCATATCAAAAACTTGTAATAACCCATATTATACGACATGCATGATTAGTAGTTAATTAAAATAGCCATTAATCAACATGATTAAGTAATATCATGTACCACATAGCTGCTTCACTCTCGAACATTAATTTATTAAAGCCTTGATACAATGTAGACAATCTCAAATAGCACTAAACAATCTAAACCTACAATGTACTTCAGCAGAATAAGGATTTTGCGACCAATTCTAACTAAAATAGACAGATCATTCTTCTGCTGGTTCACTGCCTCATCATACACAGGTGCACTCTCATTAGCCGCCTCAGTCTCCTTTGCAAAAGATTTTTGGACGTGCACAACATACTCTTCCTCCTAGTACCAACCGTCATATGATCAAGTGCCATCCCACTGAAATTACAACAACAAATCAAGCACTTTAATCAAAATCATCACGAAAAATGGCTACAAACCATAACAAAACACAACAAAAAATAACTCACTTCACGATCCAGACACGTGTAGAAGATGTGCCCTTGGTTGATACCCTTCTTCTTCACCCTGTACTCCCTCACAGTCTTCTACCCACACTTGCCGCACGCAAAAAGAGGGAGGTCCAGCCTCAGTCGCTTAGGGACCCCATGCGAGGCCGAGGACCCGGAAGCAGTCGCCATCTACGACTCTGAAAGGTTCTAATGACTAGAGGGGGGTGAATAGCCTATAAACATTTCTACAACAACACTTGAGCCAAGTGGTTAGACAATTATGAAGCGAAGCGAGTGTTGTAACCTACTCAAAATGCAAGTCTCCTATCCACAATACTAGTTATCTATGATCTCTAAAACACACAAGAGGCTAAGTCACTACCACTAAGTTAGTGAGCTCTTAAAGACTAACTAAAGAACCTCACTAACTACTAGACAAAACACAAGCTATCTCTCAAAACTAATTACATAAAAGAGCTTAGCTACACTAGGAAGTAAATACAAGAGTGAGGTAGTGAAGTTATACCGCCGTGCCAAGAGATGATCAATCAATCACAATGAATACCAATGAAATCCTCAGGACAAGATGACACAATAATTTTTCACCAAGGTTCACTTGCTTGCCGACAAGCTAGTCCCCGTTGTGACGATTCACTCACTTGGAGGTTCACGCGCTAATAGGCATCACACGTTTAACCCGCAATCAGGTGCCGCACAACCAATACAAGATGAGGATCACACAAGCCACGAGCAATCTACTAGAGTACCTTTTGGCTCTTCATCGGGGAAAGGTCAAGAACCCCTCACAATCACCATGATCGTAGCCAGAGACAATCACCACCCTCCGCTCGGTGATCCTCGCTGCACCAAGCCGTCTAGGTGGCGGCAACCACCAAGAGAAACAAGCGAAATCCACAGTGAAACACATTCACCAAGTGCCTCTAGATGCAATCACTCAAGCAATGCACTTGGATTCACTCCCAACCTCACAAAGATGATGAATCAATGATGGATATGAGTGGGAGGGATTTAGCTTAGCTCACTAGGTTGCTATGTCAATGAAAATAGTAAAGAGAGTGAGCTAGAGCTGGCCATGGGGCTTAAATAGGCGCCCCTATGAAATAGAGCTGTTGGGTCACATAAGTGACCGTCAGACTCGCTGGCACGGGCCGTCGGACTGTCCGACTCTCGGTCCAACACCCTGCTGCGACCAGTCACGCGCTGCCACGCGTCCTGTTTGAATCAAAATGACCGTTGTCGCCATCGGTCCACTTCCCACGCGTTGATCAATGCCTCGGACCCAGCCATCGGACCTGTTGTCGGACTCCACACAGGGAGGGTCCGACGTGGTCTAGAGAGGGTTAAAACCCTCAGACTCCGGTCCGACGCCCACCATCGGATTCAGTGGTGAGTCCGACGCTGCCACGTGTCGTGACCGCACTCACTCGCACGTGCGTTACTAAATGAACAGTGCTCACGACTGGTCTGACAGACCCATGAGCCTCAGTCCGACGCTACCTCCTTTCTATGCGCGCGTTAGGGTTAGCCGTCGGACTCGGGTTAGGGCCAGTCCGATGCTCAGGGAAGCAGGGTCCGACGCCCCTGTTTCAACTCCTTTTGATCTGCAACTTCACCACCCTTGCTCAAATGTGCCAACCACCAAGTGTATCACCTTGTGCATGTGTGTTAGCATATTTTCACAAACATTTTCAAGGGTGTTAGCACTCACTAGAATCTAAATGCATATGCAATGAGTTAGAACATCTAGTGGCACTTTGATAACCGCATTTCTCGATGAGTTTCACCCCTCTTAATAGTACGGCTATCTATCCTAAATGTGATCACACTCGCTAAGTGTCTTGATCACCAAAAGAAAGAGCTCCTATGGATATCACCTTTGCCTTGAACTTTTTGTTTTTCTCATTCTTCTTTTCCAAGCCCAAGCACTTGATCACCATGGCCATCGCTACATTCATGATCATCATCATTTGCTCCACCACTTGGAATGTGCTACCCTATCTCATTATCACTTAGAGTAATGGGTTAGCACTTAGGGATTCATCAATTCACCAAAATCAAACTAGAGCTTTCAGACTCTCTATACTCATTTTCATTAACTATTATAAATTTCTCATTTTGTGAACCATGAAATTAAATGAGCTATATACTAGCAAAGAAAGCTAGAAACTTGTTTAATTTTGATCAGCTACTTTAAGCTTTCTTCAACTACATTTGCAAACTATCAAGTGAGTTTGAGCTCAAATGGTGTTTAAATCCAAAAAAATCCACCATTCTTTCTAATGTAAAAAACCTTAAATTTCTCTATTTCTAAACCATGAAATGAGGCAATGAAAGGTGCATACTAGTTTTGATGAGCTACTATAAGATTCCTTCATCCATATGCAAACTATCAATTGATTTCGAGCTCAAATGGCATATAAATAAAAAATATCCACCATTATTCCCAATCTAGAAAAGCACAAATTTCTCTATTTCTAGACCACGAAATGAGCCGTGCTAATGATGAAACATTAGAGGATGAAGTTGCTAACCTTTAGAACCAAAGAATGGATGGAGGAATCGAATGAAGTCTTGAAATGGCGGCCAAAGACGAGCAACAACAGAAGAGACGAGCAAAAATAGAGAGCTTGAAATGGCTCGGGCCTGGGGAGGAAGACGGAGAGTATATAGACCGGGACCTGTAGTCCTGGTTTGTAGTTCAAACCCAGACTACGGGTGGAATTCTATTCCCGGTTGGAGCCACTAGCCGAGATTAAAGGTTTAGTCACGGCTGGTACCTCTAACTGGGACTAGAGGGTGACCTTTAGTCCTGGTTTGAGCCACCAACCGGGACTAAAGGTCCCCTCCTGCAAAAGCCTGTGGCTCTAGCCATTGGGCAAGGGACTTTACTCCCGGTTAAGGGTTCCAACCGGGACTAGTCCTATCTTTAGTCTCGGGCCAAAAAATGGCCGGGACTAAAGCCTAAAACCGAAAGTTTGTTCTCTACTAGTGTAGGCTACCTAACTGTCGACAAAAGATGCTCGATAATCCTCCGAGGGGTATCCCACGAAGGTAGATTGATTGGCGGAGGTGCGCGTAATCAAGAACAAGAAGGCAACAGAGACACAAGAGTTAGACAGGTTCGGACCATCAACACGACGTAATACCCTACTCCTATGGTTTGTTGGTTTGTATTGGCTATCATATGATATTGCGTGTGTTTTGAGGGGGGTCCCCGCCTTATATAGTCTGGTGGGCAGGGTTACAAGTCGGTTAGATCTAAGAGATAACCGGAAAGTAATAACAGATTACAGGAATCATGGGATCGAACGTATCCTAACAGATCTCGTAGTATCTTCAGGATATCGCCCTTGATGCCTTGCGGTACAAGCCGAGTAGTGCCGTGCACCATAGGTCTTCGTCTTGTGGGCTGGACTGCCCCTGGCAGCGCAGCCCATGTAGTCTGCCATGGGTATCCAGAGTCATACCCCCCACAGCTAGTCCCCGAGTGCTTTGTATCCGCTGTGCAACGCCGTCTTGAGCTTGTCCGAGCAGGTGTAAACAAAGCCGAGCAGTTAGACTCATAGTCCAACCACTCTAATTAGTCACCGAGCAGTTGTGGACTGTCATCGAGCAGAGTATCCCAAGTAAGGCTTGCCAGAAGGATGTAAGGAGCTTAAGTTCAAAATTGAAAATTTCCTCATTGTGAACCAAGTGTGCCCACTTAGAGTTTGACCATGAGAAAGGGAGATAATCTTCTTCAACTTTGGGAGGCACGGAGTCATCCAGATTAAAGAAAACACACTCACCGCAAGGTGAAGTGTGCCCACTTAGTCCCCGAGCCTAGCAGTAGGTGACGTGGTCACGTGGTGCAAGGGTCTAGAAAGTAGAAGAAAGGCAGAGAACCAGCCGAGCA